CTTACGCAATGTCCAACTTTCCATGCATAGGAGATGATTGAAAATCCCAAGGCTTGCGTCAGACATGTTAATCCCCAGGGTAACATCCTTGTTTTCCAACCTTTTAAAGAAGTCTTCTACAGCAGATATTCCCAATACAGTGCATCAGTTGGTCTCTTGATTGCTGCTTCCATGAACATTAATTGTGGATCTGAGCAAAAAAAATCCTTTGCAACTTCAATTTTTCCTCTATCACTGGAATATTCAATGTAGTAGACTAGCGAAAAGCGTTGTCTCTGAGATCAAATGGATGTTGCACATTGGTCCAGATGTGAGGATTTTTGTTTTCTTTACATTGAGTGATAATCCGTACTCAAGACTAATTATTGCTCTTTATCAGCAAGTGCTTTAAGTCTTCACTTTCAGCCAGCAAAATCGTGTCTTCTACATGATGCGGGCTGTTAATCAGCCGTCCCCGACACTGCTGACCTGCTCTTCATGCAGTCCAGCTTCTCGGATTGCTTGATAAGTTTACTGATTGAGTAAGTATGATGAGAGGATACACCCTTGAGGCACACCTTTAATAAGTGCATAACAACATTAGTCATTTTTGATGTGGATGTACAAACAGCATGGGCTAATGGAGATATCAATAGATTAGTCAGCCAGAGATATTGGTTACATTTCCTCTTATTCAATTATTCTTTATACAGTAATGAAAAGCATTCATCTTCTCCAACTCACTCTTCTATGTATATTATGTGGCATGTAAAAGATTTATAACAAAATACAGGAATAATGTGCATGACAAAATCAAAAAGTTTATGCAAAAATATTTTGTATTAAAGCTTCAGGGTGAGGACATGAATATTTTCTATTACTCAATTCCTTTTCAGATGTCAGTGTATTCTTTATAACTGTCCGCATTGAATGTGTTCTTCCTGTTTTCTGTGCCAGGGTTTCCCCGGTGACTTCGGAGACAGAGGTCCTGCTGGTCCTGATGGCAGTCCTGTGAGTACAGTTTGATGGTCCTATTTGCACAAAACATCACCCGGACTCCCTCCAACTGTGCTTGTCCTCCTCCTCATGTTCTGTGAACACACACTGCTAGACCGCTGTGAACCACTGTGCAAACTCAATCTGTTATTTTTCAATATTAACAGTAAGCCAAATATTTATTGTCAGGATTCTATTGTGAGAGACAAGCATAGAATGAGTTATGTTCATGACATTAAACGCGGCTACTTCAGTAAGATATTAGAATTATATGATCACAATACTGTCTTGTATGTTTTGAGGACAGTAAGTAAGCATTCCATGTACAGGAAAATAATAACAAGCCTCCTGTGAAAATGGAATACTTGGTGATTGCTCTTGCGGACTGAGACTTGTCACTGTGCTTTCTACATTTTCAGTATTTTACAAAGAAGGTTTGGGGATTGTTCAGGTCTCACCGTTCAGGTTAGGGAAAGAGTTGCCATCCTAAGAAGCACTCAATTATGTTTTCACATACTGTTGCTGAATCACTATGATTTGATACCATGTAGGCAGTGTTGCCCCTTCCCCCTCATCGTCCCTCGTAGCACATCTAGTCCCTTCCCACTCACCTCCGTGCCACATTCACATTCTTTTTGTAAGATCTTAAGCTGAACTATATCCAATATAAATATATAAATATAAATATATATTGGATATAGTTCAATATGTTTATATTCAACACATCCATATAGACTAAATTAGACACAGTTCCATTTTCAGACATATGGAAATCACTCTGATTCATGTTTTTGATAAGCACTGATTGCTTTATTCCCTGTCTGAGTTCCATTAGCTCCTTCAGTGACATTAGACAAGGTTTGGTTTAGACAAGTGACAGCAGACAAGGGAGAGCAGATTTCCAAAGAAGCTGTTTGCAATGCACCTGATATGGAATGTTGACTATGATTTTCGTGCCTGGGATTCTGAGGGGGTTGCTATTGTAAGCATCATAAAGTAAGTATTATTTAGTTTTCTAGTTAATGCCATTCATGGACTTACCTAGTGTGAGGCTGTGTAATTTAATGTTTTTGTCAGTTAAATATACATGAAATCTGGCCAGATTGGACGTGTACAATATTAAACCTTCTCTTTTTATATATGTTTTTCATTTAATACATAATATAATATTTCCTGAAGAAGCTTTTGGAGTAGAACATGAATTATCTTAAAGACTATTTATAATGAAAATAAGTTCAACAGACCTATTGAAAATTAATATTGATAACTAAAATTCTTATACTTGCTTAAATAATTTCAACAATATGGATAATTACTTATGTTGATATAATACTTTGTAAAACATTTAAACCTCTTATACATATACTATAATTTCATTGTGAACTTTATCACCAATGTTTAGAAAATGTAAATAGTGTACTTCAAAAGAATTGGCAGTTTGAATTTTTATCAGTTTGAAAATATTCTAACTCTGTATGCTGGCCACATATCTTCACCTGTAATATTTATAGGCTAGTTAAGTCTAGGATATTGATTATTAACGACACTTTTCCCATTTGTTTGGTATATAGGAAGTTTAGAGAAATGTATATCTTTGGCTCGGTGGCAGACCTAGCATCCAGAAGCATGGAGCCAAGGACATTGAATAACACAAACTGCTTCCACAGATTTCCACTTCTGAACTTAGATGTCATTGAAAATAAAATGTGATATAATCTATATGAGGACATTTTATCTTCTTCTTCAGAAAATATTCTCAGTGGTTGGGACTCCCTGAAGTGTTTCAGAGTCATATTTAACCAACGTACACATTTCTTTTACACAGGGACTTGTAGGTAGCATCGGCCCTCCGGGCTTTCCTGGACTTAGAGTGAGTATTCCTAAATATAATTATCCTTATGACATATTTGATTGTGCCATGTTTATTTATGTGTATAAAATTTTAGAAGAGGACTTTTTAGTGCCATTGTTGGGTACCAACCTTGCTCAAATGTATTTTCAACTAGATACACAATATTATGGGCTAAGAAATTAATAATATTTACAAAAGCCAACTATAGCAATATATTTATTTAGAATTGTATGTACATGTATAATTTATGCCTTTTTCATTAGAAGTATCTTAGTCAAGATACATATTCCTCAAAAGTACTTGAGATTAAAGAGCAGCATTAGCCCAGGACAAAACGCAGGAGGATTAGGAAAGAAGTATGAGTTGAAAGAGAAAACGGGGAGGACGTGAGATAAGTGACGTCATATTGTGGATGTTGCCATCACTGACATGACACAAAGTGTGTATGAATTGTTGAATAGAAACTGTTCTGCAAACCTTTCAGCAAATTCACAATAGGAATATTTAAAAAAAATCAGTATATGACATAAGGAGAAAAGATTTAAAATCATAAAAGTATGTGACTTTTTCTTACAGATAGCTCTAAAAATAATCATATAGTGCTTCCAGATTTTGGCTATGAAGTCAGACTGCATAGATCATTAGGATATCTATCCTGAATAAACGTAGGAGCTAGATGTCACAATGTTATTAAATATTTTAATATCAAATTTATTATATGGAAAGAAAAAAATGACTGTGCTATCTGTCCACGAACTCAATTTTTAAACAGTGAAGTCACTTCTCAGTTTCCTTGGAGTTTCTGATACAGGCAATACACAGCTTGTTATTATGGAGGCTATCATAAAGTATTCAAGCTATGTAGCTTTCCAATGATCAGTTTAGAATTTTTCACTGGAATGAGCAGACTGCTACTTGTGCTATAGCTTCCTAAATATTTATTTCTCTCAGCCAAGCTTATAGTTCATTATTGGGGTATGGATTATAAATAGTTCAGTCTTTGTATAAATCTAGAGTCATATGTGTTAGTACTCAGCTGAGCTAAAGAGAAAATTGACATACTTTTATGAAATTTAATGTGAATAGAATCTTAATACCAAAATACTTATATTCATATGAAAGTGGGGCATGACTACAGGCAGAAAAAATTTTTCCTTAAAAATATATTGAGAACATCCGTGCTTTTAAGTGCTGCATAGTACTCCATTGTGAGTATGTGCCAGAGTTTACTAATCCATTCATTTATTGATGGAAACTTAGGCTGTTTCCAAGTCTTTGCGATTGTGAATTGTGCCGCAATAAACATTGGGGCGCAGATGACTGGTCCTGTTTTATTTGTTGATTCCACCGGATATATGCCCAGTAGAGGGATGGCTGGGTCATAAGGTAGATTAATTCCATTTTCTTTAGGTATCTCCAGATTGCTTTCCACAGTGGCTGTACAAATCTACACGAACACCAGCAGTGGAGGAGGGTTCCTACTTCACCACAGCCCCTCCAACACTTGTTGTTCTCTGATTTACTGATTTGGGCTAGCCTCAGGGGTGTTAGGTGGTATTTCATGGTTATTTTGATTTGCATTTATCTTATGGCTAATGACCTGGAACACTTTCTCATATGCTTATTGGCCATCAGGATCTCCTCCCTAGTGAAGGCTCTTTTCAGTTCTTTTTCCCACTTCCTTAGGGGGTTAACTGTTTTCCTCTTTTTGTAGGTCATGATGGTGTTGTATATTTTAGTAGTGAGCCCTTTGTCTGATGTGACATTACTAAAAATCCTCTCCCAGTCTGTGAGTTGTCTTGTCACCCTCTTGATCAAGTCTTTCTAGGTGCACAGGTGCTTTATTCTTATTAAATCCCACTTGTCGGTTACCAGTTCATCTGTGTGTACCCTTCCCTATTGCAGTGAGCCTATGAGTTCCCTGGGCCCGTGCTCTGAGGTTAGTCCCAAT